CACAGTGTGGGCAGGGGTATTATCCTGTCTTCAATCATCCTTGGTTATTTGCATCCAATTCTTTTAGATAACTATGTTTATGTCCTTGGTCTTAAAATATGAGAAGTTCATTAAATTGAGTGCCTCCTTTGTGGTCAGATTTGGGCTGCCTTGTGTCTCAGGAGAAGTTGAGTCAGAAGTTGAGCCACAGCATATACTTGTAATCCTAGCAACTTAGGAAACTAAGCCTGGAGGATTGCAAGTTCTAAGTCAGTCTCAGTAACTGGTGAGGCCTTGTCTCAAATTAAAACATAAAAAGGGCTAGGGATATGGCTCGGTTGGTAAGCATCCCTGAGTTCAATACTGGTACCAAGAAAAAGGATTTTCTTCTTGGTCTTTGCTTTCCTTAATCACAAACTGAAACCTAGAGGATTGGGGAATTCAGCATAAGCCAGTTTGTATAAACCTGATTTAATCCTGTTTCCATATCTGAACTCTGGATTATTGGTTCTGATAATATATAAGTAAGTCTAGGAGTTAATAAGTCAAAATATTCAATTTTTTATATTAATATGAATAAAGGTACCTAATGATAAATTGATAAATCTTTGTTTTCCTGTGATTTGTTTTCTCATTTCATAAATGTTAGATATGTAAGTCCACCTGTCTAGTTAGGCCCAAATTATTGCTTGCCCAGTAGTACTATTTAAAACCGAAGTAGAGTTTGAAGGGAAGGAATAAAGGATCCCAGCAGGATCACACTCTAGTAAAGGGCTTATTAAATATTGTTATATGGTTTAGAATTTGTGGAATCTGCATGAGTGGCCTAAGATATGGTCATAATTTTATTCATCTTGTGTATACTGCCCAATTTATATATATATATGTATATATATAATTTTATATATATATGTAAATATTTTTATATATATCTATATGTAGATATAGTTATATGTGTATGTGTGTATAACTTTAGGAACAAATTCCCAGTTTTGTTTCAATTAAAAAATTATTTGAAGTTAAGTTTACTAGAAAGTAGCAAAGTCATGTTACTAGTAATGTAGTATTGTTGCACAGGGAAATGTATTTGTTATTAATTGATCTATTAACTAGCCATCTTGAAGATTTACTTGGTAAAACTTTTTTTTTTAATATGAAATTTTCCATTTTTTTAATAATATATTTTTTTAGTTGTTGATGGTCGTTTATTTTTATTTATCTTTTTAGTTGTAGATGGACATAATAGCTTTATTGTATTTATTTTTACGTGGTGCTGAGGATGGAACCCAGTACTTCACAAATGCTGGGCAAGCCCTCTACCACTGAGGCATAACCCCAGCCCTGAACCTTTATTTCATTCATTTATTTATATGCAGTGCTGAAAATCGAGCCCAGTGCCTCATACATTGAGGCAAGTACTCTACCACTAAGCCACAATCCCAGTCCTTGCTAACTCTTGATGGTTACTTTAGTGATTTCTCTAAATTTGTTCTTTAGCCAGGCCTAAACTTCAGTAATCAGGTGGAGAGGCGACATCAAGAACATGCCAGACACATCTCCTTTGGTGGTAATCTCATTACCTTTTCACCTCTAAGGCCCCTCAGTGGAGAAAAACCAGAAGAATTTTGAATTTAAAAATAAATCCAATGCTGTGAAATATTTGGAGACAATTAGAAGTTTGATGAAGATGTATTTGTGTTCACTTGTATTCAATCCATTTATATATTGTCATATAATGCTTTAGTATGTGTTAATCTAAGTGTATTTTAGATATACTATTTCTCAGGGGAAGTGGGAATATTTTGTATATTAACCACATAGAATAAAAGGTATGTTTCACCTTGTGTCTTTTGTCTAAAATGTATAGGTTTAAAGCTAATTATACTTACTTAGAGCTTATAAAATTTTAGTTAAAATATTAAATTTTAACCAACATATTTGCATCCTTTTATACTTTCTTCTTAATTTGAACTCTTAAATTTGTTGATATTAAATAGCTTGGAGTGCTACAGTTTCAAATGGTTAAATTATTAGAGATGCCCATTAAATCCTTGCTTTTTTCTTTTCACTTTCTGCTTGATGAGACAACAGCCATTGCCTTTTTCTCTTGAAGAGAGACTCATATTAATCACAAAATGTGTTTGAAGTATATTCTCTTTTATACACTCTCTTTAACTATAGGATTGTAAAATGCATAGCTACAGAATAGCAGAGCACCAAAAAGACTCAGTAGCTGCAGCTAGTCACCAGGTCTGTTATTTATGTCTGAAAATGAGTTGAGGATTGGAGGCATTTACCAAACAAATAGGAATTTTATGCCTAACCTTTTAAGATTAGGGGTTTTCAAATGAGAAAAGGAAACATGCTTTCTTTCCCCTACCCCCTGACCCCCAGCACGGGCGATTAAGCCCAGAGGCATGCTACCACTGAGATTATCCTCAGCCCATTTTATTTTGAGTCAGGGTCTCACTAAATTGCTTAGGCATGTTCCACCATGTACTACTTTTGATGTCAGAGAAAGATGTGTTAGGCTGTGGGAAAGTTGGTACTTATTTACATACTTATTTTTGCAGTATTGAGGATTGAACCCAGGGGCTCTTTACTACCCAGCTATATCCTCTGGTCTTGCTAAATTCTGAGGCTGACCTTGAACTTGTGATTCCCCTTCTCAGCCTCCTGAGGTGCTGGGATTATAGATGTGCGCCACCACAACCTGCTGAAAGATGGTATTTATTATCAAGCCCAAGTAAGCCCTAAATAAAGGCAGTGTGAGGTGCTGGCTTAGAAGAATATTATCAGAATGCCTCCTCTTCAGTAGATTAGTGAATAATTCAAACAAGCCTTGCAGAAAAAAAGGAAATATACATAAAAATCATGGTTTTCTAAGGGCCCACAACCATGAACACCTAAAATGTTAATACAGGGTAACTCATGACTATTTATAATCTATATAGAGCAATATACAACATAATAGTAAAATAACATCTGTTCTCAAGGATAAAGCAGAGAAGAGTAAGTCATTGTCAGCAACAACAACAAAAAAAAAAAGCAAGATTTTTTAAGGTAGGTTTAATAAGGTATACTTTTGAATAATTTAGAAAACTTTTAGCTGTTTAGGTATTCATAGACCTGAGCCCCTAGAAAACCAAAATGTATATATTCTTTCTTCCTGGCTTATCTGAATTATACAAATGAGTAATGGACTCATACTAGCCTAACAACTAGGAAACTTGTTATTTCCTGGGTTATCAGGTTGATTCTAAACAGTTCAATGACTGCCCCCAAGGTCCACATTCCATTCTTATTTTTCTGTCATCTTTTGTGTCAGCTTCTAATCCAAGGCTTGGTCCTGTTGGGGTCTTAAGATGGTTGCTAGTGGCAAGCAGCTATGTCCTTCCCTTTGGCCTGATTAGGCCAACTAATGCCACATTGAAGTTGACTTCAATGACTAATCAGGATTCCTTATTGAGTCTGGAATCATATCTGAATAAAAACATGGCTGGTAGAAAACAGGTAACCATTGATGTCTCCTATTATTGGGTTATTGGGCTCTAGACTTACAAGGTATTAGGGAAAATTTTAGAGACAAAATGAAAGAAAACTACTTGAGTAAAATAAGAGCCTTTCCAAAATAGAAAGGAAAATTTCTATTTATTGAGGGCTTACTATTTGACAGCCCTCTTGCAAAATTATTTTGTGTAATGTTATAGTAATGCTACAAGAGATTTTATAGATAAAGGAACCAAGGCCCAGAGAATTTAAGTAATTTTGTATAAACCACATTTTTTTCCCCTCCAAAGCTATACTCTTCCACTGAATCTCATAAGTAGGACAGTCAACACTAAAACGTTAAGATAAGGAATTTACATAGTTTTTGAAATATGCTGTGTATATGTTATCCAAATCCCTCTTTAGGATCCAAAGAACTATACCACTGGCCCACAGCCCTCAGCTTGTCTACTTCCTCATCTGAGGACAGTCATTGCACCCAAGGTCACACCATTTCTCCTGTGTCTTGTATTTTGTGCTTAGTGATTGACTGAACTGGGGATGTAAAGGCCTGGCTCCCTTAAAACTTCAGAATGCCCCCAAGGGTGGGCTTAGACATTGCTGTTGAACTCCCTCTGCCCGATCATGTTCTTGTCCCCACATGTATTGATTCTAAGTGCCTTCCATCACAAACCTTGTATTCTACTCTGCTTCCCAGGACTCCTACCCTGTGATAATTACTAATTTAAATTATTTAAGAAGATGATATTGTCGAAATAATAATAGATAAAATAATGGTTTTCTGTAAGCTGAAGTAGTGAGAACTCATCCAGTTCCAAAATTTTTTGAATCTTCGGTTTTACTAGTAATAAGGAAGGGTAGAAAACATAAGAATATTCACATGGGAACAATTAAATTTTGCAAACTAAGATTTTTTTTTCTTCAAATCTGAAAATTTTATAAAAACCAAGACATGGAGATAGTCTCATTGTTTACAAGAGATAAAAAGGATTAAAAAGCAGTCAAAAGAAAATGTAGTCATGTGCAACATAATGACATTTTGGTCAGTGATAGTCTGAGATCTTGTGGCCCAGAAGATCATGATGAAGATGAATAATTCGGATTGCCTAGTGACTTAGCCCTTGAAATGGAGCACACCCTATTACTTGTTTGTGGTGATGCTAGTGTAAACAAACCTGCACTGCCAATTGTATAAAAGTATAGTATACTCAATTATGCATACTACATAATACTTTATAATAAGCAACTTTGTTAGATTCGTTTTTACTTTCTATTGTTATTTTTGAGTATATTCCTTCTACTTGTTAAAAAAATAAGGCCACTATAAGGCAATATGTGGGGTTAACACAGCAACCTCAAGTGCCTCATATTTACCTCGTTTCTTTCTCTTAAGTACATTAGCAAATATAGAAAACTCAGGAGCCCCTAAGACAGTATTAATATTGCTATGTATTTTTCCATTGTACATTATCTTTAATAAACTCCAATTAAATGACATGTAAGACAGGTAATTTAGCGTAAGAATATTTATTAAATGGATGCTTACAAGAAAGCTATTGGTGAATAAAGGTAAAATTTTTTCATATGAAACCTTTAAATGTGTAAAATTTAGACTCAATTTTATTTTTAAAGTATCTGCCCCTTCCAGATTATATCATAGCATGTGAAGCACTGGTGAGGTTTATGTCACCAGAAATTCCCAGTTTGCTGATTTCCCTGAGATTTTTCATCCGATGATTGTACTGTAGCAAGTGAGCGTCATTGACTGCAACCTTGAAGTGGTCAAGCTCAACCAGGACTTGTATCTGAAAAGGCACACACACAAATTGTCATGTGAGGTCATACTTATGTTAATTAGTGCAGTTTAGCCATTCCATGATGTGTGCATATTTCAAAACATGTGCATGAGAGAGAGAGATAGTTTTTGTCAATTTGAAATAAGAGGAATAATAGAAATATCCATTAATTTCAAACAAGTATAGCCTGAACTCAGGATGTTCAACATGTCATCTTTATCATTTGTAGACCCAATTAAGAAGATCCAGAGTTGCTGGGGTTGTGGCTCAGTGGTAGAGTGTTTGCCTTGCACATGTGAGGTACTGGGTTTGATCCTCAACACCACATAAAAATAAAAAAATAGATATTGTGTCCATCTATAACTAAAAAAAAATGTATTTAAAAAAATAGAAAAGATCCAGAGAAAGTAACTTTACAATAAAAATAAGTTCCAGATTATTTAAACAAAAAAGACAAAGCAACAAAATTGTTAGAAGAACCTAAATGAAACCATAAACGACAAGATTCATAATTTGCCTACATTAAACTTTTTAAGGTTTTGTAGCACTTAAAAAGAAAGACAGCCAGGCACAGGGATGCATGCTTATAATCTCAGTGGCTCAGGAGGCTGAGACAGGAGGATAGAGAGTTCAAAGTCAGCCTCAGCAAAAGCAAGATACTAACTTGGTGAGACCCTGTCTCCAAATAAAATACAAAATAGGGCTGGGGATGTGGCTCAGTAGTCGAGTGTCCCCAAGTGTAATCCTTGGTAGCAAAAGAAAATAAAATAAATAAAAAGTAAACACTGTAGTAGGAATCCCTTAACCAGTTTGGCAGGGTTAGGGGAAACTCAAATGATAGATATGCAATCTCACATCCTTTTGTAATCAGTAATTTGGCAATGCCTTATCCAAATTTTAAACATGTATATTCTTTGAATAAAGTTATTCTAGGAAAGAAAGATGTGTATGTAAGGGTAGTTATTACAGTATTTTGGTTAAATATTTTCAGGTTTATTCTTTAGCGTATTTCCATAGTCCAGATATTCATCAGTAGGGTACTGGTAAAATTCTCACATATTTAAACAATGAAATACTAGTAAGTAATAATATTGTGAAATGAAAAGCTGTCTACCACATGTAGACTGTGATCCTTGTCCCTGACCTTGAGCTTACAGTCTAGCCATTTTTATTGACTACAATCCTAACTCAGTGCTTCAGACTTTATAAATATATGTTGAAGCAGTTACTTAAAAATGTGAGCCAAGCATGGTGGCACACACCTGTAATCCCAGCAACCAGGAGGCTGAGACAGGAGGATCAAAAGTTCAAAGCCAATAAAGAAATATAAAATTATGAAAAATTGCAGGAAAATGGATAGAACTAGAGACCACTGTGTTAAGAGAAATAAACTCAGAAGGTTAAGTGTTGTAATTTCTCTCTCATGCAGAAGCTGGAGAGGGAAAAAAAAAAAAGGAAAAACAGTGTGAATCTCATAAAAATCAAAGGGAGATGAGTAGAAGAAAGGGAACAAGGTGTGGGTGTTGGGGATGGAGGAGAAGTTCTAAGGGAGTGATTGTCCAAATTATATTTTTGTAGTGTGTGTTGTGTGCATGTACAAATATGTAACAACAAACCCCATCGGTACACAATACAACCATAATGCACTTATTAAAAAATGGAAAAAATTTGAAGTCCAGACTGGGCAACTTAGCTTGTCCCTGTCTCAGAATATAGGGCTGGGGATGTAGCCCAGTGATACCACATCCCTGGGCTCAATCCCAAGCACTGCATAAATAAATATTGAAAATGTGTTGTATTGGGCTAGGGTTGTAGCTCAGTGGTAGAGCACACATGAGGCACTGGGTTCGATCCCTAGCACTACATAAAATACTGGAATGATACCAAATTTAATCCTCTGTGAGGATAGGAGACTTTTTAAGTTAAACATCTACAAATTTTTATTTTCATAAAACATGTATATTGATATTTATTTTATTTGGTACTGGGGATTGATTCCGAGTATTTAACCACTGAGCCACATCCTCATTCCTTTTTTTATTTTTTATTTTGAAACAGGGTCTCAATAAGTTGTTCATGGCCTTGCTAATTGCTGAGGCTGGCTTTGAACTTGTGATCCTCCTGCCTCAGCCTCCTGAGCCACTGGGATTACAGGCATGCATCACCATACCCAGCTAAGCATATTGATTTTTAGAATTAAAAAAGAACATTTCATTTCTTCTTCTTTTTTTTTTTTTTTTTTTTTTGTTTTTGTTTTTCCTTTTGGTACTGCAGGTTGAGAGAAGCTGAGGTACCCAGGGGTGCTCAACCACTGAACTACATCCCCAGCCCTTTTGTTTTATATTTTATTAGAGACAGGGTCTCACTAAGTTGCTGAGACTGGCTTTGAACTCTTGATCCTTCTGCCTCAGCCTCCCGAGCCACTGGGATTACAGGCATGTGCCACCGCACATGGTGAACATTTCCTTTTGATTTTATGCCAACCATATTGTTTTAGGGAAATAACTGACATAAAGACTTTCTGCCATTTTTTATTAATTTCTAGAAAATCTTTAGCTTGCAGTGAGGGTGGGTGGCAACTGTGATGATGGTGAAATGCCTGCAAAGAATTAGGGAATGTCTCACTCTCAGCCATTTTCTTAGCCTGCGAAGTCTAAAGGTAGGGAGGAGACAGGCTGGTTTGGTGCCTCAGGACAGCTGGTAAAAATTCATTTCAATGTGCTGTGGTTTTAGAGTGACTCCCCATGAGAAATACATATTATTAATATATAATAGTAGCAACCACTTACTTTGAATGGTTTACCACTTTCAAATGGGAAAACCGACTGTCTTTCCTCCTTTCCCCATGTATTATCCAGCTTTGTATTGCATACAATGACTTTCCTGTTGTTTTCATTGAAACGTGGGTTAAAGTGGAAGGCAACATCATTCCCTCTCTTGAAGTCTAAAGCAATTCTGTTTTAAACCAAAGACCAGAGTTATTAAAATGATCAAAATTGCATTTTTTATCACGTGAAGAGCATATAAGTTTCTAAAAAGCCAATTATTTTATAATACATAGGAAATTTTTCTGAATAGAAGCAAACAAGCCAGAGAATGGGTTCAAACTAGGAAGTACACTAATCCCCAAATTTATTTACTGTCAAAATCTTAAAGTCAGCAAGGCATGTGTGTGTGTGTGTGTGTGCGCGCGCATGTGCATATTACCTTAGTGTCCTTGGTCCCATATTCCCATTCAGCTGTAATCCCCTCCTTACAGACTCATTCATGAGAACCCTTCAGGGTTTCCTTATACAGGTTTAGAACCACTTTGAAAACACTATGCCTGAACAGATAGTATTGGTTCTCTCTTACCTGCACTGCCAGGTTGCTTCTAATATTTGTTAAAGGCAAGTCAGCTAAAATACTTGGCTTCCTTGTGGTTAGTCAGAAACCTACTTCCTCTAAAACAGCAAGAATGATATACTGTAGTTGCTAAATTGTAAAGCTATGACAAAAAAACAACGTTGCATACTCCGTGATGAAAGGTGGAACTAATGAAAGTGCTAGTTGAACTTTTTGACTCTTTTTCTTCTTAGATGGTAATGCAAATACAAGTTTCTTTATTAAAAGATCAAGCCTACTCCTGAGTTTTTCAAGGTTTTTCCATAGAGCATCAGGAATCAGCTGGTGTTTTTAAATAAGGTTTGTGCTCTAGATTGATGGATTCTCTGGGAATTTTGAATCCCTCAGCCAGTCACATTCAACCACAATTTACAATTTACAAGGGAAAATGGCAATAGAATTTGTATTTGACTAAATATTCAATGGCTCTGTTTTCAGTGAAAAGGAAGATACTGTCAACTCTGTCAAGCACTTTTTTTTTTCATGTAGTTCCTCACAGAATTTGCAGGACCAAGCTGCAATTTTTTTTTTCATTTACTGCCATTAACCATTTTAATCAGAATCAGTTTTGATCAACCATGGTCTCAGTATACATCTCTAGTATTACTGCAACTAAACTTCCCATTGCAATGACGAACTGAGGCAAGGATACTGTGTGGTTCTCTGTGTTTGGGGTTACTGGAGGAGGAAAACAGATACCAACAAATCATGGGTACCACATGCACAGGAAGGTGTGCTAGACTCTGTTACCTTGGGAAGCAACATGTATAAGGACATAGGCATACAGTAATTTACTGCCAAACAAGTTTCTTTGTGTGAGGAAAGGTTGACCTTAGAGATGCTGTCTAGGTGTGTAAAAAGAAAGATTGGCTTAGGGTAGATACTTCCATGCAGAACCAGAGGAGGCTGGCTGGAGGAAAAACCAGGGGGCTATGTGAATGTAAAATTATCCAATTAGAACATGTGCTCATCTGGTGACAGGATGTGGCTTTCATTGATTCCCCAGCAATAAATTGACAGATAACTCAGGTTATTTATGGATAAATAAATAATCTTCTTGAAGAAGCCTGTGACATGATTTGAATGCATACCTTTTGTGTACTGCCTATAAGACTTAGAGATGCAGCTCACCAATGGCTGGAGGAGCTTTAATGGCACTAACTTCAGGGACAGGTTTAGGGGATGGCTTTAGGACCTTTTCAGCCTCTTCATACTGTATGTAAGTTTAACCAGCACCAGTGGTGACAACCAGGGCCAGGCAGCCATGGCAACCATAAACCAGCATGAATTTTCCTAAATTAGCTCAATAAAACCTTACTCCATCCTAGCCTACCTCAGCCTACATCCTAGCCAAACCAGTTCCAATGACAAAGGTTGTTTTATTTTGGTGAAGTTGTCAATGGATAGAATCTTTTCAAACCTTTTAACAGTGTTTACTCAGAAGACTGAGGTTCCCAGGCTTGCCACTTATCTATAGGACATGAGCATTGGTTTTATTTGTAAAAGAGGTAGCATTGTTCCTTGTCCTGCCTTCAACTGTGAAAATTAAATGATACAATGAATACCAAAACACAGATTAGGGTGTGTTACCGTTTACAGTGAATGACCCTGACACTTAAAAAAAATTATTTGGGAACATATATTGAATATGAGATAATCCCATATGACAGTATAGCCAAGATCCTGAACATGTAATTTTGGAAATATCATTAAAATTTAGAATATATCATTCTATATTCAAAAATGAATCAACAGATAGGTCAAGTTGCCTCTTTACCTGTTTGCATTGGGCTTCACAGTACCCATAATTGTTATCAGCATGCGAGGCATGACTCCTCCTGGCAGGGGCAGCTCATAAGGCACAGTCTGGGAAAGAACAAGTATATGTGTGTCAACAGTCATTTTTCTTGGGGAAAGAAAAAAAATATAGCTAAAGTTCAGTCACAATTAGTATTTGTGAACAATACAGCCCCAGTTTAGGCCATCTGTTCTGACTTTCAGGCTGCCTTGCCCCGGGGCTAGAGAAATAAGCTTCCCTCTTAGAACACTCCGAGGGCTATTTCAATCCACACCTCATTCACACAGACTAATTTCTGGAAAAGCTTAAGTTCTGTCTGTGGGATGAACACTTAGACAGTTCATTCCACAGATGTGTATTCTCCATCCATGTTCAAGATGCCATGAATATCCCTGAAACTCAATCTGTGGCCTCTTCTCTCCCTTTATAACATTTTCCCCTGGGTTCAACTACCACATGAAGCTTTCACCTCTAGCCTGATCTTCACTAGCTCTGCATTTCCTCCTACCTGGCATTGCTACTAGAGCCTCAAGTCCAGCAAGTGTGAACGGAAAGTGTCTCCCCTGCCTTCTCCCATCCATCAGTTTCTCTTCCTGAGTTCCCAGTTGGGGCTAAAGCTTTGCTGATGTTCTAGTTGTCCAGCCTTGAAAGCCAGAGTCCTGACTCCTAAGACTTAATAGGTCCTGGAAGCTCTTCTCTGCAGTCTCTCATATATGCCTGTCTCCACAGCCTTCAAGTCTCCTGCCTGCCTGCTCTTGACTGACCCTGTGCCAGGCACTGCCCTGTACTACCCACTGTCCCCACATCTTCTCTGAGCTTTCCTCCAAACTGTTCCAGAAGAAGACGGCGCTGCCTTGAGCCATCTTCTCCAAAGTCACATCCAACACTGTTGGATAGCTCTTTCTTCATTTAGATCTTCTCTTTCAACTAGACTATCAATTTGCAAGGGAAATATCCATGACTGAGTGTACCTGGATTCCTTGAGTTATGTATTCATTTGGAACTCACTTGTTAAAATGTATTTTAATCTGCATGAAAATTCAAACCTTATATCAGAATTATCTTTAAGAGGTTTTTCAAAACCAGATTACCTTGGTTCCCCTACATGTTCCTTCAGTGACCCTGGGCAAATTATATAACTTTTCCTTTGCCCCATTTCGTCATGCATAAAATGAGGGTAATAACAGTATGGTATGGGGTGGTTTTGGGGTTAAATAATATAGATGCATACCAATGGCATGGCATTCTTTCTCTCAATCCTACTAAAAAGCACAAGCTTTTGAATCAACATTACTACAATCCTAACTTGATTTATATTAAAAGCAGCTTTATAATGCCTTAAAAAGGTGTTTTACCTTCACTTTATACTAACAGTACAAAATAAATGCAATATGAACACTTGTTTTTTTCTACCAAATCAACACACACCAGTAGCTGGTTTTCAGAATGTGGCTGTAAGCTGAAGGTATATAGTTTCCCTGAGCCCTCTGCACATCAATTCCATGACAGAGTTACTCCATCTTACCAGTGGTCCAGCAGGGGTGCCATAGGGGCCAGCAGCAGCAGGGTAGGCTCCAGGAGCACTTGGCTGTCCTGGAGGTGGGTAGGCCCCAGGCCCACCTGGTTGCCCTGGGTAGGCTCCAGGTGCCTGAGGTCCAGGATAAGGTCCAGGTGCAGTTGGGCCAGGGTAGGTACCAGGAGGTGCCTGTCCAGGGTAGGCACCAGGAGGTGCCTGTCCAGGATAGGGCCCCGGAGGTGTCTGCCCTGGGTAGGCTCCAGGTGGTGCCTGTCCAGGGTAGGGCCCTGGAGGTGCCTGCCCGGGATAGGCCCCAGGATAAGAGGCTCCTGGGTAGCCCCCTGCTCCAGCCCCAGGCTGGTTCCCCCATGCACCAGGCCATCCTTGAGGGTTTGGGTTTCCAGACCCAGATAAGGCATCATTAAGCTGAAAAGAAAGACATAAACAATTACAAGATACAAAATATTCATGAAAACAGATTTTTCAGAAAAACAAGCATGTGATCTAAGAAGTAGAGAAATATGGGAAAGGTACAAAATTAATTATCAATAAATTTTCCCCACCTATTAATAGTTTTGAGTTCCAAAGACTAAAATTAGACGTTGGGATTCTATATGTTTCTTCACTTTTTCTAGCCACCCATCATCTCAGTTTTTTGTAATTTGCTGAAGTCAGGAGGTAGCTCTCCTTGATCTACAAACACATGCTTTTTTCTTTATTTTATGTATGTATGTATGTATGTACTTATTTACTGCAGTACTGGGGATCAAACTCAGAGCCTGGGGCACAAAAGGCAAGTATAGTATTTCTTTCTTTTTTTTTTTTTTTTTTTTTTTTTTTTCATTTTAAAGAGAGAGAGAATTTTTTAATATTTATTTTTTAGTTCTCGGCGGACACAACATCTTTGTTTGTATGTGGTGCTGAGGATCAAACCCGGGCTGCACGCATGCCAGGTAAGCACACTACCGCCTGAGCCACATCCCCCGCAAGTATAGTATTTCACCACTGAGCTACATCCTCTGCACCACCACCCTTTATTTATTTACTCATTGATTGATTGAGACAGGATTTTGTTAAGTTGCCAGGATGGCCTCAAACTTTTGATTCTCTTGTGTCAGTCTCTGGAGCACAAGCTTTTGAATCAACATGAGAAACCAATCTCAAACATGAGGATGCTCAGATTGGGCTGCACTTCCTGGTGCTTCTAGCAGGGTGAGTGACTGTTGCAGACTCACAGGCTTCTGCCTGGCTTTCTTCCCCCAAACTGCTGCTGAAAAAACAAGCTAACAGGCCCTCAGTGGAAACAGTGTAGTCGGACAGTGAGAAGGGAAAGTCTGGTGGTAAAAATGAAACCCTACACCTATGTGAATGTGTATGAAGCTAAGAAAACTGACATGAAGCACTTACCGAAAAACTGTCTGCCATTTTCCTGAGGAGAAAAGAGAGAGAGAGTGTGTTGTTATCACTGGACTCACTAATTTCCCTAAGATTTAACTTCCTGAATACTTCATGGGCAGTTCTACTCAATCTATAGGTATATTGCCTAAGTCAACAGTGCCAAACCATAAAAACAGTAATGGGTGGGGATGCTTTCCAGCTACATTACTAAACCCTATTTATTCAAATTCAAACTTGGATCACATTAGCTTGTGTTCTGAAATCTGAGAGTAAGAGGACATACAATGCACGAGGGAGAAGGAGCAGGAAGAAAATGTTCTGCCTTTTTTCTAGGTAAATAATTAAAATAGTCATGGTTTGTCCTGAGCCTCCATCACTCTCCTTCGTGCCCTCTCTCCACTACCCCTCACAAAGGGCTTAGTTGTTGGTATGACTTAAGTCCCCTTTTCTTCCCTCTGACAGCCCCATACCCTAGTGAGATCTGAAAAACAGCTCTACCTGCTGCTTGATTATTTATTCCATCACTGGAGCACATTGATGCCTGCTCCAGGTCAGGCACTGTGCAGGCTCCTATCTGGATGTTCAGATGAACAGGCCAGGATCTGTATGGCAAAGGGCCCACAGTCCAGCTGGGCAGGCAGACGTAGGCAAATACAAAAGAATAAGTGATCCATGCTGTCAGGCCATATGCTGTGGGAATGCAAACCTGGGAAGCTAACTTCGGAGCAGGGAAGGGAACATAGTATTTGAACTAAGCCTTGAAGGATAGTGACATTTATTTGGAAGTGCTTTTTTCTTTTCTTTTTTCCAAGGTACGTGTATTCCAAATAAAATCTTGGGCACTATAACAAACCAAGGTGAAGAAACTCAACAAAACAATGTGGAGAAAAACATTTTGGGGGCTAGGGATGTGGCTCAAGCGGTAGCACACTCGCCTGGCATGCGTGCGGCCCGGGTTTGATCCTCAGCACCACATACAAACAAAAATGTTGTGTCTGCCGAAAAACTAAAAATAAATAAATAAATATTTAAAAATTCTCTCTCTCTCTCTAAAAAAAAAAAAGAAAAAGAAAAACATTTTGGAGTGGGAACTGTCAAACAAGGTTTGTCATGCTCAAAGCTGCCACAGGGCTGGAGAAAATTTACTGCTCCCTCCTGCTCCTTCCCCTGAACCAAGTCTCCAAAAGCACAAGGTGCTTCACACCTGCTCCTGCTATAGCTGCTTCCATTCTGCAGGGCAGTTGAAGGGTAGCCCAGAACTCCTGCATCCTGGGTGACTTCTTTCTAAGCTCAGGATAAACTGTGTCATAGTCAAAATTACCCAGACTTATAAACAACTAGAATCTCTTCTTCCTTTATTTGTTTACTTGTGTTAATTACTCATTTTAAAGAAATGACATGGTCCCAAAAGGGATTCAGTAAATGACAACTACATGATAGGTCCTAAAAATGCGTGATATTAAAATTCTCTGCAAAAAAAAAAAAAAAGGCATAGCTCCTCCTAGGACTTAATATGTACTTCATTTACATACACAAGATGTATTTATACTACTGTTATTTATATCACTCTCAGACATTACCTTTTACTAATTTTTTTCCCATCTCTTTTACCCTGGTTATTCTCCAACTTATTTAGAATCAGGTTATGACCATGCCCATCTCCCATGGTGGAAAACTACCAGCAGTTTGACAGGAAAATCACAGTGACTCCTAGAGCTTACTATTCCTTCCCCACCTTGTATTTCCTATTGAACTTAAACTTCTAGAGCAAAAGTGGGAAGCTCCTATGCTTGTGTGCCTTTCCCCCACAAGACTGTCACAATACTGTATAGGAAACTGTGCTGCCACCACTGGAGGAACTTGAGGGAAGAGTGGTTACAGAAAAGAAAAAGAAAGCAAATTACTTAAGAAAATAAAGCCTCTCTCATTTTGGACACTGGTAGAAAACAATCTTGAACTTCAAGGTGGGCAGAGAGCTTAGCATCCTTTGATCGCACACCCTTTTCCACCCATGAACAATGTACCAAAGACTCAGCAATAATTTTTATAAGCATTTGGTTTCTTTGAAATGTCCCCCACTGCACAGGAACTTATGTTCAATCTCATATTACTGTCACTTCAGATAGACATTTTGTGGCACAGTGTGATCCTGTGCATTTAGGCTATTTAGCCACATTTCTGGCTTCAATCTATAAGATGTCAGTAGCACACCACCCTACAATTTGTAATAACCCAAAGTGTCTTCAGACCTTGCCAAATATCCCTTTGGGCAAAGCCATGCCTAGCTGAGAACCACCAATCTAGACTGTCAGCATGCGAATCCCTATGTAAATGTACATACTCACATCAATAAAAACCAACCAGGGAGTTTCAGTTGCACAAATTAAAGTTTCTATTGGTATCATGTGCCTCATAGGTGCCTTATTAATATAACTCTGATCAAATTAAGATGACTGTAAAGACTGATGAAGGCCAGAAACTCAAAGGGGCCATTTCCATACTTAGCATTTATTCCACCCAAAACCTGCTCAAATCTGTTTAGTTTATTTTCCAATCTGACCAAATGCAATTTGAGGAACACAACAGAGTTCACTGTATTTTCACTGTGTTTCACGTATGCCTTGGATGACAGTTTGGACTGTGTTGTGACACATTCCTCTGACACATTAGAATAATGACACTGCATTTGTGTGGGGCTTCTCAGAATGCAAAGCATTTTCCACATACCTTATCTATTTGATTCTGTTAAGCTCATGAGGATTACAGGAAGAAATTAATATTCCCACTGTAAAGCAAGGAAATAGGTCCACAGAGTCAACCTGTCATTGACAGGTCAGGAACCAGGGCCCAAGTCTCCTGACTCCTAATTTAGGCTCATTCTACACTAATTCAAAACCTTGCACCTTGAAAGTTTATAGCTGTTTGAAAGTATTAATGACTTCACCAAGAAATTAATTCTCTGGTCTATTCAACCAGAACTACAGAGCATGCTGAAATTCTAATTGAACTGAAAACAAGATTGTGTTTTTGTCAGAAAACTAACTGGATGACTAATTCAGCACACAGTAATATTTAATAAAAGGATGCCATTTTGCATAGTCACTGTGCTAATTATATCCACACTTTAGCCAATAAGTTGTACTTTTCCAAAAACTAGTTATGCACTATTTGGATTATGCCAACTCCCAACCATTCAGATCTCCTATTTGAAAATGATTATAACTGGTGTTCTTCTGAAGTCAAGATTAGTAACATCAGAACTTAGGGAGGGGGAAAAAAAGGATCTCTTATTACAAGTATTTTCCTTGTCTAGAAAATTTCTTTTTTTTTTTAAAGGTGAGTAGTTTATATAAAGAGAGATGCATACGATCAAATGTTTTTTAAAAAAATCTTCCTACTCTGCAGAAGTATAGATATGTGAACTCCATCCTGATTCTTCTAGTCTCAGAGAATTTTGAGGTGCAGGGGAGCAGAGGGAACTTTATCAAAGATGAACAATTACAGAAATACTACCTGGATCTCCACATTTGAAAATACCAACAGTAAGAAGCTCAGTATAATTTTGGAATAAGAAATTTAAACATGAGTCAGAAAACAGACCGTTTTAATTAGCTGTTAATTGGTAGCTCTTCCCTTTAATAAAGAGTAGTTAGTCACTGCACATTACTCTTCTAGGCCCACCTAGCAATCAATCCAGTTGTCTGGGTTCCCAGGAACACTTAAAATTTCTCCTCATAAGGTTCCTGTCTGCCGCTTTGGTGGCACTCAGTGAGACCTTGTCTCTAAGTAAAATACAAAATAGGGCTGGGTATGTGGCTCAGTGGTTGAGTGCCTCTGAGTTCAATGCCCATTACACACCCAACAAAAAAATTTAAAAATTAAGGCTCCTGTCTTTAAACAAGCTGTAATGAAGTAGACTTTGGAGGTATTTCCTCAGAGCTCCCAGGCATTCCCAACTCTCCTAGAACCCACATGAGGCTGTCTACCTCCTGCCCTTGCTGAGACTGAGTGGGTAACTCTGAGATGCTGAGTTAGGAGAAAGAAGACCTGCCCTTTCCTAAGGTTTCTTTCTCGTCATAGTTCCTGAGCACTAAGGAAGGTAAAGTTACTTTGTGCTTCTCAGTTACTGATTTTTTTTCCCCTTTGGAAAAGCTGGAGAGCAGTCAATGGCAAACACATGACCCTTAGTCACCAGCAAACTTGAAGCATACAGCATGCATTATCCTCCTCAGTTAGCCACTCAATTTAATGAGAACCAGTTCTGGCACCAAGAGCCAGTGTCTTAAACAATCACAGGAAAGAAAAGCAAGGTTGTGGATGAGTTACTGGTAGTTTCAGGTACATAAGTACTTACAAGTCAATTGGTAGGTAAGGTCAACATTAGATTCTCAAGTTATACTTTATGAATATAGGTTTCTCTTGCAGTGACGATTTCAAGTCTGGCTAATGAAGATTCCAAGCAATGAAGGTTCTAGGTTCAGCTTTGTGTGTAACTTAGATTTTTCTAAGCTCCAAATATTCAAAGGCCCATCATCAAACTTCTCCCCAGAATATGGATAAGTGCTCATTTCAAATGTAACCTTCCAAATTATGAATTTAGGAAATAGCTCCAATTCCCCTAAGATCAAGGAGAATGCATGACCATCCTTGGAATGAAAGATTCTACTTTAAAAGGACTCAAAATCAGTATCTAGAAAGGAGACTTAATGGCAGAAAAGTAAGTCATTATTATTAAATTTTAATTTTCACGGAAACACATAGTTTCCTAACATGAAAAGTTTATGAAATTGAGGCAAGCAAGTTACAAAACTGTTAGTTGGTGAAAGTTTTTTTCATGCTCTGGGCCCACCTATGTGTTTAATTTTATCATTATCATTTTTGTTAGAGTTAACTCAACCTAACTTCCATTCCTTTCCAGGATTCTGGAAACAGACTGAGGTCCAGGTATTCTCATTGTCTAGCAACCCAACTCCAAGGAGTCACTTTACAAATATTCCACAGTGTCTGCAATAGGTATCCATGTCCTTAAGGACTGGGCTGACACATAACTCACAGGCCTTAATTCATGTCTCCCTTACTCCCTGGCATTAAGTACCTACTCCTCAGAATGCAAGCAGTTTAAGTTTTCAGATGAGCAAATAATAATTCAGAATAAATCCTCACACTCATTTTACAAGCCCCCAGCTAGACTTTTGCACCCCGGAACCCATATCTTGCCACACCCAACACATCCTCAGCACCCTTTTGAGATGATTATTGCCCATATTAGCCAGTCTGAGCAGGGATGAGTCACTTGATTTAACAAACGCTTAAAGGTTTCAGTCTTTGCTAAGTCAGGCACAGATCCACTTGGGCTTTGGGGCAGCATCATTTTCTGTGGGGTCAGATTTCAAAGAGAGGCTGCAGGCCTTGCCACTGCTGGAAGAACTCATTTGCATCCACAGCAATATCTCCTGCAGATGAAAGCTCAGCAGATGCCCCAAAGTGGCCTGGTCAGCCAAGTCAGGGGTCCCACAAGACCTACAGAGCCCCCAGGAAGGTACCTCATGCACCGGGAAGGGAGAGCCTGTTCATAACACCAAGCTAGAAGGAGCCGTTCAGTTTGATGACCCATCGCACCCACCACTCCCCCGCGCTGGGACCTAGCGGACTGGCAGGCGGCTCATTGTGGGTTAGGGCTTACTCTACACGCAAAGCACGGCTGGCAGAGGGTGGGACCATAGCTTCCACTGTGCGGCAGCGCAGAGAGTGCCCAGTGCCTGACGTCCTCACTGCCCCAGGGCTAGGTGTATGCGAGTCCAGTAGGGAGTTGCTAACTTTCCCCAGGTCTCAGACCCCGGAAGAATCAACAGTTATGGATCGGTGCCCAGAACTATGCCCACGCTCGGCTCCGGGCTGGCATAGCGCGGGCTGCCCGGCTCTCTACGCTCGCCGGTCACCAGCAGCCAAGCCCCGTGAGCGCTCCGGAGCCTCTGCCCTGTCGGCAGGTGCGGTCTCCCGCGCCCACGCAGCTCACCCTTGTCTTGCGTCTCTCTTGCTCTCTCCGGGTGGCTCCTGGCGAGGTGGTGCGGGCGCTGGCGGCGGGGCGGTGGCTCTGCCTTCAAATACCCCTGGCCCGCCTGGCCCGCCCTCCCGGGGCGGGGCAGTGCCCCGGCGCACCCCGGCCTCTCCCAAGGGATGGGAGGACCAGCCCTGCGCCCACAGGACAAACAGAGCCGCCGCTCCAGGGGCGCGGTCTTGACACAGGGAGGAGAGAGGCCGCGGGGACCCTACCTCTCTCCCTATCACCAGATTCCTAAGAGGAACATCCCTTAACTCCGCGAAGCTGCTCTTAGTGCGTGCTGCTTTGGGGGGTTCTGCTTGCTCGTTGTAACCCTATTGACTTATTTTCCGTCCAGGCGCAGGCAATCTCATCCCGTTTCCATTTCCTTTACCCGAAGCCTACCCCAGAAGGGCAAGGTGACTTGTTTCCTGAGGAACGAGGGTGTGTCCCTGTCTAAAATATGGATGAGAACTCCTATGTTTCCGGCTTTGCATTCCTTTCCATTCTGAACTGTACTGTGCGTGGACACCTTTGACTGACATTCCTAAATGGTTTGGTGTTCGCTTCCTGATGCACCCTCAGCATCTGCTCAGGATGTGGTACAAAGCAGGTTCTCAGTAAATGTTTGTCGAATGAATGAATGAACAAACCAATTACTTCCTTCCTAGGAAGTCTGTTTTCTCGAAGACTAGGGGAGAGTCCTGCAAAGCAGGGAACAATTAAGTAAAAAGTAGCTTTGGTAAGGGAAGGAATAGGACAAAGCTATGCTGTGTGAAAGGTTGTTTGCAAGAAAGCTGATATTTAGCTGGATAAAAACTGAGTAAGATGGTTAAGGATGTCCAAGATAGATTTTTTTTTGTTTAGATAATAATAATAATAGCTAATATTCTTCAAGTATTTAATGTGCCTTGTACTATGCTTAGTGCTTTACATACCCGTATGGAAGGGAGTGTTATTTTTATTCCCATTTTAAAGATGAGAAAACTTAGGCACAGAGCATTAAATATGGCCATGATCACAAATAACAGGTTAAGATGAAAGAATGCCAGGATCTAAGAAATAAGCCTTTGGCAGCTCAATTCACAGTAGCTAAGCTATGGAACCAACCTGGGTGCCCTTCAACAGATAAATGGATAAAGAAAAATGTGTTATATATACACAATAAAATATCACTCAGCCATAAAGAAGAATTAAATCATGGCATTTGCTGATAAATGGATGGAACGGGAGACTATCATGCTAAGTGAAATAAGCCAATCCCAAAAAAGACAAAGGCCAAATGTTCTCTGATATGCAGATGCTCATTCACAATTGGCAGGGCAGGAGGGAGAAGTGGGGAAGGGTTTAAGTGGGGAGAGTGGAGAGAAGACAGAGGGATGGGAATGGGAAACACAGTAGTATGAACCAGACATAATGTTCCTATGTTTATATATGAATACACAACTATTGTAACTCCACATCATGTACAATCACAAGAATGGGAAGTTATAGTCCATGTATGTATGATATGTCAAAATGCATTCTACTGTTATGTATAACTAAAAAGAACAAAATTTTAAAAAAAATTTTAAAGAAATAGACCTTTGGAAATGGAATATTCATTAGTCAACAGACAGAGGAGGGGGAAACTGGAAGGGAGGAGGGAGAGAAGAAGGAAAGGGCCTGCAATGGACACTGAAATTGGGTAGATTTAGTGGAAGTTGGGATGGTCACTCAGAAATGGAAAGAATGATTGAACATAAGGTGAAATTGTCTCTCAACAATTAGGGAGTTCAGTTGCTCTGTCACTCAGGAGCCATATCCTGTCTCACTGTGGGATTCTGCCTCTGGTTGATGGCACCAGTGAGAAGAGCCTCTGTGTCCTCTTGAGCTGATGTGTTGGGAGGCTTTGGATTTTGAGCCAGAGGAGGAAGGGATTTGGTGTCAGAGAAAAGAGTAAGAACAAAGGACCAGGGAAGGGACAGCACCCCAGGGAGGGAAGATTGGGCTGTATTTGAAAAGCTTTGAGAAGCTACCCACATACACCCAACACAGGGCTGCACTGGCTCTTGGCTCTTGGCAAACCTCCAGAGATAGATGGGAGGACTCCTGGCAGTGCCACTGGGCGGTTCCCTCAAGTAGGTAATGGGCATTTCCTAAGAGGACATGGCAGTCGCTGCAAGTGGCAAGGACTGACAACACTGCTTTGTTAGCACCAGGGTGAGGTGCACTGAGCAGAAGAGGGACCCTGCTCACACAACAGTAGGACTGTAGGAAACCTATAAATAACCTCAGGGGAAAACAGGAGGACTGGCTCGAACTGGCTACTGGGTGATTGTGACAAAATTTTGTGACATAGTTACACATGTTCTGTGTTCTGTTTGGGGCAATGGGTTCCTGGTTCACTTAGAAAACCAAATAGAAAATGGCAATGTGATATAATCTCATTGATACAATGTGATTGAAGGAGAGTAATAAATGAAAAGTCTAAATTACAGTTTTTCAGGCTGGGGTTGTGGCTCAGTGGTAGAGCACTTGCCAAGCATGTGTGAGGCACTGGGTTTGATCCTCAGTACCACATAAAGTAAAATAATAGACCTTGTGTCCACCTATAACTAATAAATAAATAAATAAATAAATTACAGTTTTTCATATGTATACAATATGTGAGAATGTGTGTGTGTGTTTGTGTGTATGTATTAGGTGACCTAAGCAACCTGGTAATGTTGCCTACTTGGGGTAGATCTTACAAGATTAGAGAAGAAAAAATATGTAATTTATAAAAGCTATATTGCTACTAAGGGACAATGAAAAAAGGAAGCAAACATTTTTTTAATTAATTTATTTATTTTTTATTCTGATTTGTTATATATGACAGTAAATGCATTACAATTCATATTACACATGTAGAGCACAATTTTTCATATCTCTGGTTATATACAAAGTATATTCACACTATTCATGTCTTCGTACACATACTTAGGGTAATAATGTCCATCTCATTCCCCATCTTTTCTACCCCCATCTCCCTCTCTTCCCTTCCCACCCCTTTGCCCTATCTAGAGTTCATCTAATCCTCCCATGCTCCTCCTCCCAACCCCACTATGAACCAGCCTCCTTATATCAGAGAAAACATTCGGCATTTGTTTTTTTGGGATTGGCTAACTTCCCTTAGCATTATATTCTCCAACTCTATCCACTTACTTGCAACTGCCATGGTTTTATTCTCTTTTATTGCTGAGCAATATTCCATTATGTATATGTACCACAGTTTCTTTATCCATTTATCTACTGAAGGGCATCTAGGTTGGTTCCACAGTTTAGCTATTGTGAATTGTGCTGCTATAAACATTGATGTGGCTGTGTCCCTGTAGTATGTTTTTAAGTCCTTTGGGTTTAGACCGAGGAGTGGGATAGCTGGGTCAAATGGTGGTTCCATTCTCACTTTTCCAAGGAATCTCCATACTGCTTTCCAGATTGGCTGCACCAACTTGCAGTCCCACCAGCAATGTATGAGTGTGCCTTTTTCCCCACATCCTCACCAACACTTATTATTGTTTGTATTCTGACTGGAGTAGTTTTGATTTGCATTTGTCTAATTGCTAGAGACATTGAACATTTTTTTCATGTATTTGTTGATTGTATATCTTCTTCTGAGAAGTGTCCAGTTCCTTTCCAGTTCCTTGGCCCATTTATTGATTGGGTTATTTGGGTTTTTTTGTTTGTTTGTTTTTTGGTGTTAAGGTTTTTGAGTGCTTTATATATCCTAAGATAGATTAGTGCTCTATCTGATGTGCCTGTGGTAAAGATTTGCTCCCATTCTGTAGGCTGTCTATTCACTTCACTGATTGTTTCTTTTGCTGAGAAGTTTTTTAGTTTGAATCCTCCCATTTATTGATTCTAGGTTTAATTATTGCGCCAAAGAAGTGTTATTAAGAAAGTTGGGGCCTAATCCCACATGATGAAGATTTGGGCCTACTTTTAGCAAACATTTTAATTTAAAATTTAACTCTGACTTTCCTTCCTATCACTCTCCTCTTTGCTCGCTCTGTTCTGTTCCTCCTACACACAAGACTCCTGCTGATCCAGCGTCCTCACACTGGCAGTTCCCTATGACTCTCTCATCTCCACTGAGTCATTTCTCATTGTCACCTTCTCTGAGTCTACTCTTCTACCCTGCTGAACATTGTAGTTCACACCTTTTCCAGTTACTCATGCTGCTGATCCCTTTCCCCTTTCTAACATTTCTTTTTTCCATCATACTTATTTACTGCCAGCATTTGATAGGATTGGCTTATTTATTATGTCTATTGTTTATTATTGCCACCACCCTCACCCCCATCCACACACACCTTGCCACCAGCTTCTTTGTTATACTTTTTTTGGGAGGGTACCAGGAATTGAACTCAGGGGCACTCAACAACCAAGCCACATCCCCAGCCCTGTTTTGTATTTTATTTAGAGAGAGCATCTCCCTAAGTTGCTTAGCACCTCTTTCTGAGGCTGGCTTTGAACTCTTGATCCTCCTGTCTAAGCCTGTTCTGAGGCTGACTTTGAACTCTTCTTGATCCTCCTGTCTAAACCTCCTGAGCCGCTGGGATTACAGGTGTGAGCTACCACAACCAGCTCTTTGCTATACTTTTTAAAAATTATTATTAAATTATCTATTTATTCTAATTTGGTACGTATGATAGCAGAATGCAATTCAATTCATATTACACATATAGTCTTTACTATACTTTTGACTAATGTATCCCAGTGGCACATAATAGGCACTCAATATATATTTGCTAAGTGAATAAATTCATGGTGTGAGCACTAGAAGAAAATCCTTTGGGCTATTTGACTTGATCCTTTTCAAGGCTCTTCCCTCTAGTTAACTATTTAATGCTCCTTAAAAAGGACCAAACATTTAATAAGTAAATAATTCAACTAATAGATTGTTATACTTACAAAAACAAAAAAGCAGAAAACCTGTCAATTATCAGTTCCCTAGGGAGCTGACTAAATACTACTTCTTTTTTTTAATGTTATTGTTTTTTTAAATGTTTATTTTTAGTTGTAGGTGGACACAATATCTTTATTTTATTTTTATGTGGTGCTGAGTATGGAACTCAGTGCCTTACACAT